CAGTAATAAAATATATTGCTTGTATAATTTTATTTAAAGGCAATTTTATGTGTTCTAATCCATCTTTATAATTAAATTGATAATGTGACATATACAATGTTGATGAAAAATAAACTTTCAAATGCATGGTTAAGATCATTAATAACTTTATCGATAACACGTTTATTCACACTAGTATTATTGAAAGTAGAATTTCGAACCATTTATTGTATACCATATTCTTGTATAATATTTTTTAAAACCATGTGTATATTAGTGATATTATGGGGGATATTCTACACATCTAAATGTAATAATCTTTTTATGTAGAAGCAACATGTGATTAATATAATGAGTCATATCAGTAATATAACATTTTTTTTTTACCACGAGTCCATAAATTAGAGGTAAACGATATAATACTAAAAAATTTTAGTTGTTCAAAGCAACTTGTTTTCTTTTATTATATAATTTTATAGTATCTGAACGAAGAATATTTCTACAACAAGCAGTATACTTGGGTTGGAGATAATTCTGCATGAGTCGGGTAAAATATATTGAATTTATCATCATAAGAGGCATCTCTGCTGTAGCCACGTATGTAGTCATTCTTTCACGAAATCTTTAGTATGAATATACAAAGGTAGAAAGAGTTGAACGAAAATCGCCAAACACTAGTTTGATCTGTTTCGGGTTGGGACCGACTGGTTTTGCTTTGTAACTCCTAAATACATGCCTATTCAAATGCATTGTTCTTGAATTGGGCTTCCAACTAAGTTCTTTGCCATAATAATTGCAACATGCTTTTCAAATATCAACTTTATTTTGAATGCCAACTTTTTACGTGTCGTATATTGCCAATAATTCGAGAATTCTTTTTTCGACCTTTTAGTAGTCTCGAGTAGTTCTTTTTCTTCAATATCTCCAAATCAATTTGAACATTTTGAAATGCATCATAGCCGATTGGAGTATTTGAACTACCCTTAAACTGATTAATTTCATCATTAGTAAAATTCATCTCTATTCTATGGTTATTATAACAAAAGAACGAATATTAGAATAAAAAAAACTAAATATTAGAGCAAATAAATTGGAGATTAAAGTTGAAACTATAATAATACAAGTTAAAACTGATTGAAGAAAATTGATATGATACCCAAAAATTTAACTCATATTTATATCCAAAAAAATATAACCGTTTCAACTAAATTTAAAATTTGAATTTTCAAACTTCATCTGCCTCTGCCATAATTTTTTTTAACATTGCTTGCTAGAAATTTTATTTTATTTTATTATATATATATATATATATATATATATATATTTTTTTTTTTTTAAAGGCTCGAGTCGAAAAATGACCAGTGACACGGGGGTTGAGCTTGAGCCGACCTTGCAAAATGGGGCTTGGCCTGAACCTTGACTTTGTTCATCCGACCCACAAGTCGGACAAGTTCGGCCTTTTCTTGGGCTGAGCTACGAGCCGCCAATCTAGTGAAACAAATTTACACCCCTAATCAAGGGAATTGAGGTGTGGACGCGGAACATGACTCACACCTTGAATTTTTATTTTTAATGTGTTTTAATTTAAATCATATTTTAAATAATAAAAATGAATAAATAAATAAGTAAACCCAAGATCGGAGAATGAGGATATCTTACACCTTGTCCTATCTCCAAAAAATTCTCGGCCTCGACCTCCCTTTACCATCCATCTCTTCCTCTCATGATTGCATGTGTGCGCTATTATATTATATTGTAGTTTTACTTGTGATGGAAATAAAAAATGTCAATAAATTTAATGCACTCTTCGCATGTTGTAATTCGAAGTTCGTTCTAAAATATTAACTTATTTCACGTATTAGCTTAATCTTTTCAGGTAAGCAAGACCACTCTCATTAATGAGACACTTGGGATCCGTTTGGTTTGTGTTTCAATTTTTAATTTTGAGTTTTGAGTTTATTTTCATTTTATTTTATTTATTATTATTTTTTTGAAGGCTTATTTTAAGATAGCTAAGAATGTGTTTGATTTGTCATTTTGAAAAACTTTCTCAAAATTGAAAGTTATAAAATACGTTTGGTTTAAATTTTGAAAAAAAAAATAAAATTATGATATGATATTCCCTGAAATTTGATTGTTATCAAACGATATATATATATTTTAAAGTTAATGAATTTTACAATATTCTTTTCTCGTTATAAAAGTAATATAGATTGAGTTGACAAAATATAGAAAATAAAAATAAAAATTAATGATGTGAACTGTTAATAATCTATGGGGGGTTTTTTTGGGGCCCGAGCCGAGCCAAAGCTCGGCCAAAAAAATAAGGTTGCTCGGGCTTTTTACGAGCCGAGCCGGCTTGATTTACTATTTTTTATTTTTTTTACAATTTTTAATTCTAGAATTTTGTGCAATTTTATTTTTTAAGATTTTTCTTAACTTTTTTTCAGAATTTATTTTTTAAAATCATAGGTTCTATATTTTTATATTTAAGAATTTCTGAATTATTTTATTTGAAATTTTAGAATTTCAAATTTTTATATTTTAATTTTTAATAATATTTTATTTAAACACTTGTTTTCCATGTTTTGAATGTTTTTAGAATTTTTACTAAAAATGCTCAAAACGTTTAAATTGTTTCGATTTATATTATAAATTTAACCTTGTTTTCGAAAATATTGTTTCAAAAATACCAAACCAAATTTTCAAGTTTTTTTATTTTTTATTTTTTTTTTTCAAAATTGAAAACTGAAAATAACTTAAAACCAATCCAAATGTAGTCTTATATTTTCACATCTTCAAAATAATTTTATTTTGAATTAATTACAACATCATCTAGTAACCACAACCCCCTAAATGATAATCATATTCCTTTATCCAAGAACTCCTACGATGTTTGTGTGTCAAGCCCGAAATATGAAGGCTCTACAACCTTGGTAAGCTCACCTTAATAAAAAGCGTATTTCATTATGATTAATTGGGTCTCAAACTTTCGCTCGGATATTCCACAGACATTGAAAACTGTTAACGATTATCAATTTGATATATAAAAATAATAACAAACATATAAATACTTGGGATGTTACTTTTAACAAGTTCAATCCATTTAGAGGAACTACAAGTCTTAATATGTAAGCTAAGTGAAACAAGTTCAAATGAACAATTCGATTTGTCTGAAACTCAAACAAACATTTGGATTTCAAGATTGTCGTTCTCAAATGAGTCACCATCTTACAAAACAATTTATAAAATTTCTAGGCTTGGATTACTCCTCTTAACATTTTTTTTTTTTGAAGATGTAATATCGAGCTCCAATAAATATTCATGATTTGGTTGTTAGTAGAGCATCAAGCATGACTCTATGTTATAGAGTGGCACGTATGAAAGCATGAGAATGCAAAAATTATAACAACCTTTTGGTTTTTGATGATTCGTGACTCATGAATGTCACAAAACTTGACATCAAAGACTCATTAATATCAGAGATTATGAAAAATATGGATATATAGAATACTCATCTCTCAAAAGACCCAAGTAGTGTTGTTAATTCAATCCAATCGAACCTATTCTACAAGGAAAAACTTAAAGTACCATAATAAAAATACTAATATAAGATATTACTTTAAAAACTACCATGACCGATTAATCAAAGGAAAAATTATAAGATAATATGATACTAAAATACTAAAACAGCCAAAATCAGTTGATAATTTCCATACTGGACGCGGCACTTCAGTACTATTTATTTAACATTTGGAGTTTTATTTCGAAAGTTTAACCTAGTAGCTAAATTAAGTAGTTCAATTCCTTTATAAATTCAAGAGAACCCATATTTAGTTGATATGTAACTTTTATTTTCACGTCTCTAAACGATACATGTAATAAGATACAACTGCGAGGCCAGAACTCTAATCTAGTGAAGACCTAATTTAAAAGAATATTAAAACAAAAAATTGAAACAAAAGTCATTAACTTTTTTATTTTTTTGATACATTATACATTTAGTATTGGATATTTAGAATGAAATGTAAGACAGGACGTGTAATGTGGGTATATATTTTCTTTCATATATCCTCCCCCATCCCCCCCAAAAAAAAAAAAAAAAAAAAAAAAAAAAAAAAACTGCCCTTTGCCATTCATACGATAATTTATTATAAAATTGAAATATGTAGTTTATTGACAATGAAACTATCTAATATTGAAATGACAACAATGGATCCAAAATTTGAATGGTTTCTAAAATGGAATTTACTTGAAACCACAACGTTATGATCCGGTAATTACTAGATCAGATTCCCATAGTGTCGTGTAAAAAAATGCTATCTATCTCTATTAAAAATAAAATTATATGATGTCATATCAAGTGATAATATCAATAAGGTGAGCCTCATATTCATTCATTTAATTGGTCTTATCATTTTATAGTACATTATCTGCCATGTAGAAGTAGATCATCGTTCTAATAAATAATACCATTCTTTAGTTTATATACGAAGAGGACTATAAATATATAGAATGAAAAATCATCAAATTCTAAACGAAAGAGAGACTAGATTATGTTACCTACTGGGCAGAATTTCGGCCTCAAAAAAGCATAATTAAACAGATTCTTTTGGGATATTTTTGTGTCAAATAGTTACAAAATAAAACTCCAAATTTTCGACCCATGGAGAGTTCGATACACGTTTACCGAAAGGTGTTTCCGCAACGGGCTCAATTTCCACTTAAAACGATTTTTGTGAGTTAATTACATATTCAAATTCAAGATGTATCTCTTTCATTTCAAGCTGCGAGAGTCCTATTTATACAGTTCGGAGGAATGTACTTCCATTGTTATTTTTTGTAATATCAATAATAATGAATAAAAATATCAAAACTTTGTAAAATAAAAACATCAAATATCATAAAATTCAAAAACTATATTTCATGTATTAACAAAGCCATGTCTATATATATGCACTTGTCATGTAACGACAAATAGTATTAACATTACCTTATAAAATAGAAACTAAACCATACATTCAGGCACATCACAATAGTGTATCTTACTAATTGTCTCTTGGGAAACTCACAAACACCCACACAAACACAAACTCATGGGTTCTCTCAATGTTCACAAGCTTCCTATCATTGAATTCACACATGATACCATGAAACCGGGGACAGCATCATGGTGTAAAGCGTGCAAAGAAGTGATTTCAGCCCTAGAAGAATATGGCTGTTTTGTGGCATCCTATGATAAAATTTACTCGGAATTAAATGATGGAGTTTTTCACGCATTAGAGGAACTTTTTAATCTTCCCACTGAAATTAAAGTCCAAAATAGGTCTACTAAACCATTGTATGGGTATGTGGGACAAATCCCACTTATTCCTCTCTATGAAAGCATGGGTATTGATGATGCCAACACACTTGAAGGAATTCAAAGTTTCACCAAAGTCATGTGGCCTAATGGAAATGATGTCTTCAGGTACTCTTTTCTTATTTCACAAAAAATAAATAAATAAATAAATAAATAAATAAATAAAATAAAATAAAATAAAAAATTCTGAAAATGCTATTTTACGAACATATTTTAGTATCGTTTCTTTGTTAACTTTGTTGAACTCTTTGTTTTCTACTTATTTGTTAGTGAAAAACTACTGCCATACACTAAATTAGCAGCAGAATTGGAAAAAATTGTGGTAAGGATGGTATTCGAGAGCTATGGGGTGGAGAAGTACTTTGATTCCCACATCAAGTCAGCTAATTATCTTTGTCGAGTTATGAAATACAGAGAAGCAAAAGTTAATGAAAGTAAAATGGGCTTTGTCTCTCATACGGACAAGAGTTTCATGTCCACAATTCATCAAAATCGTGTAAATGGTCTGGAGATCAAAGCAAAGGATGGTGAGTGGTTTGGTGTTGAGCTCTCGTCTTCGTCTTCTGTCGTAGTTATGGCAGGCGATGCGATTATGGTAGGTAAATTACATTCTAGCAGTAAATATATTTATTTAAATGTCAACCTTTACAGGCATGCCATATTTGGTTTTTGATCAAAACCCTGGCACATACACAATTTTAGTAAATGAGCTATGGCGAGACTCGAAATCAGCATCTTTGCTCATAATATAAATTTCAAGTTATTAGTAAGGCGATAAATTTATTTACATATTTCAATCATGTCATCAACAATAATTAGTTGATTAAAGAGCTACCAGAGAGTGACATTTCTTAAATTTAATTTCTTCGTTTGAACTAGGCTTGGAGCAACAACAGAATAAAATCTCCAGCTCACAAAGTGACGATGGAAGGGAAAGAAGTACGGTACTCCATTGCTCAGTTCTCATTTATGGAGGAAATAGTGCAAACACCAGAAGAATTAATTGATGAGGAGCACCCCTTACAGTATAAACCATTTGATCACCTCAAATTTCTTGACTTTTACAGCAAAGAAGAAAACAGGAGACTTGAGAGTGCTATCAGAACCTATTGTGGTGTTTGACATGCTTAATTTCGATTGTGGTGTTAATTTTACGATACTGTCGAGAGTACTTAATGCCAAAAAAACTACTAAAATGTTTTATTTATTGTAATGTAATACTACATAGTAAACAGTCGAAAGCATGCATATAAGTTGTGAAATAAAAAGTTTGCTTGATCTAATCCATGTGATATCAAGATTTATCATGATCATGCTATAGTGGTGTTTAGTTATTGGGAATGTTGCTATTTTAGATATCAAATCATGTTAGAACATGCGTCTAAGTTATGAATAATACTATTTAGCCTCATTGAAATTGTAATCCAAGTTTAAATGACGTTAATGTGACATTAATTGATAGGTGAAATTAAATAAATCATTTAATTTCACTTTTCATTCATGTAATACTACATCTTTGACCAATCCTATAAACCATTTGCCAAGGGTCCCTTTAAGCATTAACTAAATTCTAGAGGGGATAAATATTGTTTGAGGATAACGATTTCATATTTGAGCTTTTCGGTCAGATTTTATGTGTTCTTGATTAGACTTCATCTTTGCTCTCTTCTATGTTTCTTTTGATTATTTTGATATTCGACCAACAATCTCAAACGATATTTCTATGAGAATGAGAATACCATGGCAACAATCAAACTTATCAATCAAGATCTTGTTCATTTGAATCAATTTGATGGAACGAATTTCATCTGGTGGCAAAACAAGTTGAAATTCCTTTTCCCAGCATTCAAGATCTTTTACACACTTGATCTTGATTTGGCTCCACTCTCGGAACCAATGGATGAAGATACCTAAGTCGTAAGCAAAAAGTCAAAATGTCAAGGGGACAAATTGGTTTGCTCTGGTATATACTCAATGCACTATTTAATTGTTTGTATGACTTTTAGACCAACATATTCTCGGCGAGCGAGATATTGAATGCCTTGGATAACAAATACAAAGTTGAAGAAGAAGGTCCAAAGAAATCTTTGATAATGAGTTATTTTGATTTTTTAAGTTTCTTGAAAATATTCTCGTTCTTCCTAAAGTGTGCGAATTGCAAGTGCTTGTCAAGAAATTAAAGGCGGTCAATATTGAACTTTCAGAATCTTTCCAAGTGGAAACAATCATTGCTATAAATATATAAAAATTAGTAGTGGACGGGTCTTACTTGTTTGCTCTTCAAAATCTATGGATAAAAAATGCAATGTTATTAAAAAATTCAGCTCAATTTAAGCTTCAAACCCATTTTATTTAAAATCGGTAAAAATAAAAAAATAAAAATCAATCAATTGACCAATTTATCCACAAACCGTGAGATCCGAACTGGTTTCTCCGACTATGCGGATTGATTGAATGTTTAAAATTTATAAATTTCTCAACTTTCATCATATTGACTTAAAAGGTCCAGAAATGTTACTTACCCAACAATTGGCCCACCCATCTATAGACTACATTTCCAATGATTTGCAGTGAGTACTCGATTTGGGATAAGAAAGAGCAACCCCTTTGTCCATGGTCAAACCATAGGGGAAATACATGGAATTGATCCATTTAAGAAGGCCATTTCATAAAATTTATAACCAAGCCATCTTAATTTTAAAAGAGTTCAATTAAGCTCTCAAATTATTATCTTTAATTTTTCCGCCTTGTAAAAAATTGGTATCAGAGCCTAGTAACGAAACTGAAAAATATATTATTTAAAATGAATAGAAAAGATAAAATGATTTTTAAAAGAATTACAAAATATTGGTATATTAACTAATACTAATCGTATTAAATTGCAAGAATTAGCAACAAATTTAAGTACCGAATATAAATCTCTAAGTGAAGAAATAAAACAAATTAATAATTCTCAACAATTAGTTGAAACAAAAAATAAAGTATTACAAATCTTGGTAGATGAATCTCTCAAATATGAAGAGGAAGATATTATTATAAATCAATTTTTAAAACAATATGATAATTATGCTAAGCCTTTAGGAAAACTAGACATTATAAATCGAGATGTCATAACTAGTATAAAAACTATGGAATCAAATTTAGAAATTGTTAATAACAATATTAAGATAGGACCAAAAATCCTATATAAACAAATTGAATCAAAATTTAAAGAATTAAAAAATAAAAAAGATTCTTATGTCTCTATTGAACCACCCTTACCGGCATATGTTATAGAAGAATTAGAAACAAAATTCTTTGAAGCTACTGAAGAAGAATTAGAAGCTCATAAACAAAGCTTAGAACAATTAGCTATGCAAACTGAAAATATATATATATATATATGAATGATCCTCCACCTAAAGAAGAAACTACTGAAATTAATACTCCACCTCTAAATCAACAAGTTGAAAACCAGCCGTTAATTGGAGAAACTAGTAGAACTAATATTAATACAAATTGGACTCAAGTTAAATCTGATGACTAAAATTTTGAATGGATAAAAGAACAAGAAGGCTACAATTTTAGAAAGGAACCAAAAACTATATCAACCAAACATGAACAAATTCCTACTACAGGAATATGATTAGATATTGATGATAGCAATAATTAAAGTGAAATTATTGACTCTTGGGCAAAAGCTACTGATTTGGCTGTTGCTTTTCATAAATGAAATACCACTCAAGCGTATAACTTTATAATCCACACCTTTAGAGGAATTACTTCAAATGTCTGGAGAAGAACTTTTGAAGAAACTAAAAATAAAATTAAATATGGTGAAAAATCTACAACTACCATAGATAGCAATGAAAGTTTAGATGCTAAAAATTTTAAAGAAGTGTTAAAACGAATTGAAATTTTTTTTAGACACCTATTATTAGGAGAAGTTAAACCAGAAACTAAAGTTGATATGATTACTCAAGAAACTTTACAACCTGAAAGAGAAATGGAACTATTAAAAATTTGTGATATGTGTGAATTAAATGAATATACTAAGAAATTTGAAAAGATATTTATCAAAGCATCTAAATCTATAAAAGAATGGAATCTATCTGAAGAAGATAAAAAATTATTAAATAGATATTTTCTTAAATTACTTGGTCATGGGGTCAGAAGTTATTTGAAAATTACCTAATCTATTGGAGTAAAATAGAATGTGAAGACCCTAACCACAAAGATGATACTTTAGGAATGAGAACTTCATTCGCTAAAAGAAAAATTATCAAATGGTGCAAAAAATCTATGTACCAACACCTATTTAGAAAATATGGTAAAAAAGCTAGTTTATGTTGTTATGGAGAAATAACATCTGTACCACAATTTGGCTGTTACCAACCATCTAAAAAACCAAATTATAAAAAGAAATTTAAGAAATATTTAAAACCTTGGAAGAAAAACAAAGGATTTAAGAACCACAAAAAATATTTTAAGAAGAAAAAACCTTGGAATAAGGAATATAACCAATATAAGAAGCCTCAAAAGAAATCTAAGAAAGAATTTTATAAAAAATGTAAATATTTTACCTGTAATGAATTAGGACATATCTCTCCCAACTCTCCTAATAAAAATAAAAGAGAAAATGTTAAATCTATTAAATTAATGGAAGAAATTGAATACGATTCAGAATTTGAGATAATTGAAGATTTAGACGAATTATCTGAAACAGACTCAATTTATGAGCTTGATATTAAAGAAATTTAGGAACCTGAATATGAACAGATATATATGAATCAAGAAATTATTGATACTGTTAAAACTACCTTAGATAGTGAAGAAGGAACTTCACAAACTGTTATGCTTGATGAAAAAAGATATGGAGCTATAAAAGAAAAACAGATATCATTAAGAGATAAAGATGTTTTTATTAGACCAATACTACCTTGGTTTAAAAAAACTATATACATTGCCAAATATGACGAAGTACCTATTAACATAGAAAATGTTAAGGGCAATACTACTATACCTTTAATTACAAGAGAATGGGTTAACAGAGAATTAGCAAATATTAAAAGATTCACTAGAGAAAGATTAAAGAATATAGTGATTGGAGGAATCCAAATCATGATTAAAGGATACTTTAGAGAGGGAATGGATATTTCTATACAAATATATTTAATGGATAATAGGATACTTCATGATTCTATGGAGGCTCTATTAGGAGTTGTCTCTGAAAATCTTGTATATAAGAAAATTATATTTACTATAAGACCTAGATTTGCTATGTCTATATTAGATGAAAACTTAAGTTTAGGATTAAATCTATATCACAAAATTGATAGATTAAGTATGGCACTAAGAAGTAAAGCTGTAACTTTACATTGTAAAGCTTTATATGCTTTTACTACTACACACCAAAAAGAAATCAATAAAATTTCAAGAGAATTCATAGAAATTCATGAAGACTTTAAAAACTTAGCACAATTTACATCACCAAGAATGCTAAGTGATTGTAACATTTCGTTGCCACAAGAGATATTACTTGATTTTCATCAACGATCTAGAAGAATAGACAGTAATGTAGGTAATCAAGGATTAGCAACTTTGAATACTTTTGGACAATTTGTAGTTAGAATGCCTAGTAGAAGAATAGAAAGAAGTATCAGTACTAGAGAACTCTCAAGCTCTAGTAGACCATCTACAAGTAGAAATTACACAACTATACCTAAAAATAGTATTGATATTGATTTAAGAAAAAGCAAGGAAGATAATTTCCTTATATTAACAAAATATTTCAATAATCAAAATAACTACGAAGAAATCATAGCCCTTTTTACTACAGGAGCTTGTACTAGCCATATAAGAGCAGACTTAGTCGATCATTTAGTAGAAGAAAATCTGCCACAAGGAATAACTCTTGCAGATTATCATGGAATTAAATATGAAATTAAAACATTTGTTAATCTTGAACTAAGTTTTACTGACATAGGAAGAGAACAATTTAAGCTAAACCTTAAAATTTATAAAGATTATAGAAAAGGAAAAGATACTAGCCCAATATTACTTGGAATGAACTTTCTTGAAAAGGTATCACCATTTGTTATTCAGAAAAACATACTGCAAATAACTGTTGAAGGTAAACAAAAAATGTTGCCTAGAGTTAATAAAAACAAAGAATTAATTTATATGATACAAGGAATTAGATCAATCAAAACTAGTATTTTGAGCCCATATATTGAGATAACTCTCGATTTACCAGACTATTGTATGATAAGATTTCATGCAATACTAGATATTGGATCAGGAATTTGCCTAAGTAAAATAAATGTGTTCCCAGAGCACTATTATAAAAGTGATCATAAGAAAACAACTTACGGTCAAACAGCTAGTGATATTGTTGAAATATATAGAGATTTTGTAGAAAATGTTCCTATTATTATTGGAAAT